CTAGCAGAGGGCCGGCTGCATCCCACAGACCCCTAGCAGAGGGCCTGGCTGCATCCCACAGACCACTAGCACATGAGGAGCATGACAGAGAGGGCCGGCAGCATCCCACAGACCCCCAGCAGAGGGCTGGCTGCATCCCACAGACCCCTAGCAGAGGGCCGACTGCATCCCACAGACCCCTAGCAGAGGGCCGGCTGCATTCCACAGGCCACTAGCAGAAACCTGTATTTTAAAGACACCATAGATAGGGCTCCAAGGCGGGGAGGAAGATGTGGTTAGAAACCAAAGACGTGGCAGAAGCTTCCAGGAGTGGTCCAGCCACAGTGGGAGGCAGCACCTTATGTGACTGTTCAGGTAAGCAGTGAGGGGGGTGCTGGGCCACGTACTGCAGCTCTGCTTCAAATCTGACAAGGTGACCATTAAGCCGAAGCCGCCAGCCTGGATGGTTTTGAAACTTCGCAGCCTCTCCAGATGGCAAAAGACGCCCACATTTGGAAATGACTCCTACAAGTGTGACACAGAAAAAGGCTGAGTGTGTGACTAAATAGCGTTTTGCTGGAACCTCAGAATGATCGAACGTCAGAACGTGAGTTTGCAGCCACAGACAAGGTATTTTCAAGAAGGCAAGGGTTTTTCTGCAAGGGTTCTGACCTTCTCGGCCAACCCAGAGGTCTCTAGAAAGCTGAAGCCCACTGTCCCTGTGGCCTCTCAGTGGGAGCCCAGGAAACAGAAAGAGGATCTCAGAAATGTGTGTGGGTGCGGCTTTTGTCTAACTGAATATTAGAGTAAAATACATTCTCTATGGAAACACTTTCTTAAGAATTATTCCCAGGTTCTGGAAATCATTATTGAAAAAAGTTAAAAGTCATAAACGTAATAAGAACTAAAGAAGCACTCAGTGACAGCCACGGTGCATCTAGTTGAAACTCAACAAGGGAACCACTGGCCCGCAGGAGCCAAGAGGAGGCGATGAACTTGGACAAGACAGGTAGGACGTGCGTGACTGGGGGCAGCTTTCAGGAAAAATCACACAACACAGCAAACAGGACCCTGCGGGAGAGGCGTTCTCGGGGGACAGGACTCTGTAAGAGCAGGAAGTCCAAAAGACTCCTCCTCCTTAATTACTTGTGGGGGGGGGGGACAACCTCTCCACCGCAGCCCTCAGAGTTTGGATACAAGCCAGGTGATGAAGTAGACAGTACTAAGAAAATGCTTTCGTCTAAGAGGAAATTCAGAGCAAAGGAGGAACATGATCCAGATTAATACCTATTGATACAGGTCAAATTACATGTATACAGAGATACACATATACGTACAAATATTTCCTTTATGTTATCATAAAATATCAATTTAAGGAACAAACTGAAAGTTTGCATATTTACTCTTTGTCTAATTTGAAGTTTTTGGAAGTCTCTTTCTTCTATACAAGAGTAGAACAATTTTTAAAGAAGAAAAGGATTTTTTCCTCTAGGGGAGAAACAGTCCTTGTGACTCAGTCCCCATTTATAACTGGGAAAGCTGTGCACCCCCACCACTGGCAGGAACGTGAATTTGGTACAGTTTCTTCAAGAGCTTACTAATCTCACTCATGTGTATACCTTTGACTTGATCTGTACAGAAACAAAGTTTGTAAAATAAGACCTCTATACCCCCTAATGTTCTGAAATAAAAATCAAAAAAGAAAATGGGACAAGTGGTCTACTGACAAAAAGCAGAAGAGCGCGGCCCGGCACATGCTTTTCTCTGTGCCCCCTGAGAGGACACAGCCTCCTGTGTGATGGCCATGGGCCCGCTCTGACTCAGTGTCGGGATGGACACGTTAAAGCTGCATCCCCCACCTGTAACAAGCACCGAGTGGGCGAGTGTTGTCAGCACTGCGGTCAAGCAGCTTTAGCCTCGATGCCCTTGGCCATATATTTCGGCAACAACTTCCTTCCACAGGGTGTAACTGACACTGTATATCTTGCACTACGCCTTTTTAAAATTAAAAATGCTTTTCAAATAACCAAAATGTTTAAAATTAAAAAGACTGTAAGGAGAGATAAGATATTCTTATATATCAAACTTTCCTCTTTATGTCTTCATCAAACTAGTGCCTTTATTTTCTTCACAACTACTATTTATTATCTTCAATAAAAACTATTTTAAATATAAACTTTATTATTTTCAATAGTTTTTAAAAACTATATAATTTAAAAAAACATTTTAAATATAAAGTACTTATTATTTTAAATAAAAAAATGAAACTCAAAGACCTAGCTTTTCTTTTAATTTTATTAAATTTTCTATCTTACCAGAACCATACTGATTGCCCACATATTTCATAGAAGTGACAAATACTTCAACCTCTGATAGCTTCATAATTAATATTTTCTTTGAAGATGATAATGATGATTGTTTTTCTCTGATAACTATGTCAGAGGTTACATTAAAATAATTTGTTAATAAAATGATGATTTGAAATCATGTTACCAACTCCCATTATCACTCATATATTCAAGCCTAAAAATTCAAACTCATTGACTTTGGAAGGTGAGAATTTTTAGGTTTTTAGAGGGACATCTAGAACTTTCCACAGGATCTGGTTCTGTAACATATAGTCCTACATATACATACTCTGTGCATATTTATATGCAGATGGATGCTAACTTTTATTGAATATGGGTTTATGTGAGTTTGAATTACTAGATTTTCTCATAGCTGTCCTGTAATGTAAACTACACAAATATCCTTAGAAATATGTTCCTCCTAACCATTTCAAGGAAATATTTCTATATTTTCCACATCCCTATGAAAACATGCATTGTTCCCAAGTTCATTTCTGTTTGTAGAAAATGCTTTACATATAAATTACATATTGATAAAAAAAAAAGTTGACTCATGAAGAAAGAGAGGACCTCGGCTGTCCCCACGCAGGTACCTCACCTCTGCAGATGGGCCGGTGGTCACTCCAAGCAGCGAGCGTCTCTGTTACTCTCTGACAGGTGATGCTCTTGGATCCCTGGAGCACATAATTGTCTTCACAGGAGAACTGAACGTTTGCACCAACCCTAAGCAGTTACAAAATGAGAAAACAACCCAAATTATTCACAGAAGGTGTTCTGAAAAGGAAATAAAATAAACCAAGTAGCTGCTGCTATGATGTTACATGGCACAAACAATGTAAAACCTTGAGCAAGCCGTTCGATGCTATTTATAGAGGCAACCTTAGGGTTTAGGAAATGTTATAAAATCAAAGCCCTGGGTTCGGATTTCTGTCCTGCCACCTTCTTGCTAAACAAATATGGGGACCTTAACTTGTCACCTCTAAAGTAGGGAAAATAGTGACGGTGACCTCAGTGCTGTGAGTTACATAACAAAATGGGAAAGAGTTTTCCACCCCCAAAGAAAACAAAGTTGAATGTCATTTTATGTGCATAAATATAAGAATAAGAACAGAAAAAAATCCGAGTTAAGAAAATGTCTCAGTAAAGAATCTATGTTACTATCACAAACATTAATTATATTTAAAAGGAAGCCAGTGATATTATATTTTAGAAATATTTCTTATGGGAAAAGAATCATGGGTTTTAGAAAAAGCTACCCATCCAGGCTGGAGTTAGATGAAAAACTGCTTTGGTTCCAGAGCTGCATCTGCAAACATGAAGCGTTAAGGTTGTGAAGGTTTAAAGGTTGTCAGAGGCAGGTGATGGGGCAGGTGCGGACAGAGGTGTCAGGGGCACACAGCACGTGTGAGCACACCAGCTCCTTCCAAGCCTGCAGCTGACATTGACTGGAGTGTTGGATTATTTTACTATCTGACAAGATTATTGTTACATGAGGAAATTCTACTTGTGCTTTTAGTCTGAATAACCAAAAGGTTGATGCTGAGGCTATCAGAGTGAGAGACTTTGAAGAAATAGATGCACAGTCATCTACATGGATGGATAAAGTTAATCTTACAGAAAAGACACCAGAAAATAAACAGATGCTCTCCTTTCTTTAAAAAAATTCTTAGCTACAATACTGAAGTCAATATTCTTGGAATAATGTGACGCCATCTCCCTCATCTCTGTAACTCTCTCTCTGCAGCTTGTCATACACGTCTATAAAAATCATCAAAGCTGAGTCAAACCAATTTGGAAAATTCTAGGTTAAACAAAATTAAACAACTTTTCTTTCTAAAGGGACTGCTCAACTTAATAAAATTTAACCTGCAGAAATTTATTTTGCCTGTTTTAGGAAATGCAAAATACTTAGAATTTTCCATACTTATTTATCTTTTTACACCAAGAATCCAGGACAAGTAGAGTTCTATGGAGCCAATTTTGAAAAACACTGTATCATAAGCACATAATATATGCTATTTTTAAAGATGACATGTATAAAATCCAAAATTCAGACATAATTCTCACAGCCATCATCAAGTTATTTTGCATAATTCTCATAGCCAGTTTCAAGTTTTTAATATGTCACAAGTTATGTGAGACAGCTATAATTTATAAACATATTCCTCCATAATTTCTGCTCTTTGATCTTTGTTTAAATCTCTGAGCCACACTGAATAAATGAATAAATAAATGTCGGAATTTTGTTGTAAAAATAATCATTATATTCTTGTATTCTGTACTGCAGGTCCCAATCTCTAGTCTTATTTACTTAAATTTCAGTGTTCATAATTTTCATCACTCTTTTGATATGTTTTTATTGAGAAGCTGCTGTGGGTTACATTCTATTCTAGGCAGCAGAGAGGAAGAAGTGGATTAGACAGACCAAGCCCCAATCTCAGGGAGACAACATGATAGCTAAGAAGAAAAGAACCCAGACAATCAGATCAGATAGAAAGAAAGTGAGAGGAGGTCATCAGTGCCTACGAGAGAAATAAACAGAATTGTATGATTGATAATGGGGTCGGGAGACTTGCAATTTGAGAGTAGGTCAACAATTTTATGATTCTCTTCACCGAGGCACTAACATCTAGAATAATATGCCAGGACTTGCAAAACAGAAAGAAAGGACAGTGAAATTGTTGCCCCCACTTAGCACTGGCTGTACTTCAACTACAGCGGCCCGTCACTCGTGAGTTGTGGCCCACACTCTACTCCAACAGAGCTTCTTTTTCATACACTTCCTCCAGCAGTCAACCAATATTCCGTTAGGTATTCCTAGTGAGCTGTATTCTGTTTTGATAAACCTCAAAAGCACAGTCAACAAAAACCAAAAAATAAAAAGGGAACTAAGATAGCATCAAACTAAAAATGTCATGCACCTTAGAAGCAGCCATCAACAGAGTGAAGAGGTGACCTAAGAATGGGCGAACACATCTGCAAATGACACATCTGAGAAGAGGTTAGTGTCTAAACGTACAAGGAACTCAAACAGCTAAAAGAAAAAAAGTGACCCCTGTAAGAAATGGGCCAAGGACCTGATACCCAATTCTGAACAGAAAACATAAAATGACCAACGGGTATTATGGAAAGGGGCTCAACAACACCAGTCATCAGGGAAGTACAACTGAACCCATGATGCATCAGAACCCCACACCTGTGCAGACAGCTGATATCCAAAGACAAATGACAGCAAGTGTCACTGAGGACGCAGAGACACAGGCAGCCCTGTGCACTGTGGGCAGAAATGCAAATTAGTGCAGCCTTGATGAAAAACGGTACGGTGGCTCCTCAACAAATTAAAAAGAGAACTACTCCAGGACCCTGCGATTCCACTTCTGATTGCAGATCTGAAGGAAAGGGAGTCAGAATGACACAGGGATAAGTAGCCTCCCGTGGCCATTGCAGCATTAGTCATGATAGCCAACATAGGCGATCAACCTACGTGTCCACCCGTGGGTGAGGGAATGGAGAGAACGTGGCTAGATACACACTGGAACACTATTCAGCCTCACAGACAAGGGAGACACTGTCCCCTGCAGCAACATGGTTGAATCTGGAGGATGTTACACTAAGTGAAATACAGCAAGCGCAGAAAGTCAAATGAATGATCTGATTATATATAGGATCCAACATCTCTGTGACCCAGAGGAGCAACGTGTAGAAGGACAGTTACCAGGCGACAGAGGGAAGAGAAGGGGGACGGGGAGATGTCGGTCAAAGCTCACAGACTTCAGGCAAAAGGAGCAAGTTCAGGAGACGAATGGTACCATGTGGAGGTCATAATTCATACACTTACTGTTACATGTTGCACAAAATTAATCTTGGGTGTATGTGCCAACAGCTATATTAATTAGCTTGATTTGCCCATTCCACAATGTAGCCACACTTTAAAATATCATGTACACCGTAAATATATAATATTTTTATACACATTTAAAAAAGCAACTTAGTAACATCACTGCTCTATGACTAATAGATCTCATTTCGGGAAATATGTGTTTACTATCCAAAATATCAGAAAATTATGGCCAGCGATAGTCTCTGGAAGGCAAGAAAGCATCTAACACAAGGACCACGCTGGATGAAATTGCGTCAGATATACTCGAAAGAACAGACGTTACAATATAAAGTGTGAATCTAACAATATGTAGCGATATAGAAGAAAGCAAGCATGATTTGGAATTAAATCAGATACCAGTGATCTCTATTTCTATGTCTAAATCTATAACTCAGGAAAAATAGGCACAAAATACTTTCTGAGTGGTAATATCACGATAAGTAATTTTTTGTTTCTATATTCTAGTAACTGTATTCCTTCTGGTTTTATTACTTGATAATTTAATTTAAAAAAGAACTTTTGAGATGTTAATATTAGACTGTCTCTGAATTCTCCCTCATTGTGCAGGTGCACATACATCCCAGGGCACCTACCCCTCCCTGGCCTTATGCCTCAGCCTTCTATACAAAACCACTGAAAAAGTCTACTCTTCCTAATGTTTTATGGTCATCATCTGGCATCACTCTCTAGTCCAGAAATCGCTGCCTGGGTTCTGTGGACATTCATCTCCAGCACATTTAGAGTACACGATACAACTCATTCCATAATTACTGTCATAAAGCCTTTTCGCAAATGATCGGAAATAGCCAACGATAAAATATTGAAGCTTCTCTAATTTCAAAGCATTAAAATTATTAACAGAGGCATCCTTGTCCTTTGATGGCAAGCTGGCAGGCAGAGCCACTGTGGGGAAGCTCTTTCCCATCAGCAGAGATGGGTCGTCTCCGCTCCGTAATGAATCAAGATGAGGCTGAAACTAAATATGCCCCAAATTCTAATTCACTAATTCAATCTTTTGCTCTGGCTTTATCTAGCACATGAATCAGTTCCATTTAAAAGCCGTGCATGCTTTCAACTTCAAATACGTAATAAACTAAGTTTGCACTGATTTATGATTACTATATTGGAAGTAATATAGATATGAGATATAATATTAGATCATCTAATTTGGTTCTCTGAAAAGTACTTGGAGGAAAATTCCAGAAAACAATAGTTTTTAATGCTCATCTATTGTCAAGTAAATTTACAGCACCTTAAATTAATTACGTAGTGAAACTGAGACAAATGGTAGCAGCTGGTGAGTTTAAGAAATAACAGAGAACTGATTCTGTATAAGATCAAGATATACTGTGTGTTGATAATAAATACCCAAATGGCAAAATTCAGTTTATACAGTGAAAGCATCATAATGTATTTTTAAAAATAGAATACAGTAGGAAAAAATACATTTTTATTTCTTTACTGCTTAGCACTTCTGAAAAGCTTATGACTCAACTTTTGATTTCAAAGGACATTTCATTTACCACTTGCTAATTCACTGTGCCTGCCACAGTGTGAGAAGGCTGAGTGAATAGACTGTTTCTAAATACGGTTGACCTAGAGAGCACTTTGTGGATTTATTTAACATTGGTACCATAACTATTTTTGGAAAAAAATCTAAAGTGACTCAAAGCTTAGAGCCCAAAATGGAATAAGGGTTCACTTAGCTGTGATGTCTAAATGTCCACTGCTTAGCGGAGATTTCACTCGTCCACCTGACTGCCCCAACAGAGGGGTCCTACGTCTCTTCTCAACCCACATTGGCTGACGCAAAAAGAGATAAATTTATTGATAGATACAGAAA